GATATCTTCTCTATATGCAAGCTTGAGGATTTAATAATGTTATACGCATATCTTCTCCATATGTCGAGTAGTTTAACTATAACAGTACTTGTGCATATCTTCTATATATGCAATTATTGATGTGTTATCTGATATCAAATGCATATCTTCTTTATACGTTGAATTGTTAAGAGACTTACGTACATCCTCTCTATGTGCACTGTTTGATGGTACTGTATTTCATGTTTAGACTTCGATACTGTTGTTGGGTATACGTATATGTTATGAGTTGTACAGGTGTTATATAGTGAGTATCCTTGACCTGAGACCTCGTCACTATTTTACTAAGGTTAGTCAGGATACTTACTAAGTACATAGGGTCGGTTGTACTCATACTATGCTCCTGCACCTTGCATGTAGACCTTGGAGTTGAGCTGTTGTGGATGGCAGAAGCTGGAATTGAAGATGTAACTATTTCTCGGATATAACTACCACTTGTTCTAGGTAGTTTAGAATTTTTACTTCTCTTCGTGTATCTGCCAAGTGGATATTGTATTTATTTTTGTACCAAATTTGTAAACCTAAATTTTAATGGCTCTTGACTTGTACTACCAATCCGTGGAAAAATTATATCAAATTCAGCTATCTTGTTTCATGTTATTAATGATCTTTCATTTGAGTTATATTATTCATTGCTTGGCTTACCTAGCAGGTTGGATTAGGTGCTATCACGACTTGGTGAGATTTTGGGTCGTGACAGAATATTTTTTAAAAAGAAAAAAGAAATGGCAACTCATCTGTAATACATGTTATACATTTTCTCCTGCATTATTACAAAGTTTGGCCTTTAAAATTTTCATACTACGTGTAATTTTTATATGGTCAAAATAGATTAAAGTTATGGATAGTCAAATATGGGCTACATTTTAATAATAAAAGTTGATGGTAGGCTATAGTTACGTATTTTAGTCACTTATTGCACTCTAATTCATTGCACTATACTTGTGTTGAGCATTAATTGGCAGTGTTTTGCATTTATTGTGTGTTTTGTTCCTTCTAGGAGTGATTTTGAGCTATGTAGATGTTGTGGAGTTAATTCAAGCTATTTGGAGATTTGAAGTCTGAGTAAAAGCCCAGGGGATCAAGCCGGGATCGTATTCGGGGGTCGAGGACCAAGTATGGACGTCAAAACGCAAGCAAAAAGTCGTACTCTGAGAAAACCCTATAGCTGCGGCGCGTGGGGCACCGCGACTGTATGAAAGCTGCATGTTGCAAAAGTGTCAAGCCTCTTAAGATCTCCACTGCTGGCCCGCATGGTGCGTCGACCCATACAACGTGCCTGTGTAGTTTTTCCATAGTAATTGTCCTATTTCGGCTAGAAGAAGGTGGTTTCATCTGGGCACGACCCTACTTGGTGTAAATACATGGAAAAACGTTATTTTATGGACTTTTGACATATTTTAGACCTAAGGAGGCTAAGGAGGAGTTGGAAGAACACGAGCACAAGGAATTCATTATTCATTTCTCACTTAAGACCCAAGTTTGGATCATTTTATATTTTCCTATACTTTAAATATATTTGTGATGAATTGCTCCATGGTTATGGAGTAGTTCTCTTTAGGGTTTGATGGATTTGGTGTATTGATGATTTTTAGTGGATTATAACTCTAGTTTTATGTATTGAATCGTTTTGAATGATTTAATTGTTGCATCTATATTCACTTGTTTATGTGATCGAGAGAGGCATAACTTGTGATATCTTTGCATTATTGTCGGTTGAGTTCATTAATTCTTCTTAGTATTCGAAAGAGGCTAGTTGAATCATTGATTAAACATAGTTAGGAGGATAATCGAGTGAGGTTCTCTTAAAGACCAATCCACTACGCATTCTTGCATATCTTCACTGAGTTTAAATTGGTTCATCTTGTAAGGTTGAGACTTAATCGAGAGAGGAGTTTCTGCAGAACGCTTGAACTAATAATTGAGTGAATTCGAGAGATTCACTTGAACATTAGAAGTTAGTTATCTAGAGTTAGATCCCAAATAATTATCTCGCACCTATTCCATCAAAACCTTATTTTCTCCCACTAATAACCTTCTTTGCTTACTCATTGTTACGATTGTCACTAGTCAATAACTTTAGACTTTTAGTTAATTTTAGTGCTTAATCGTATAAATCTCAATTGTTGATAATCTTCGATTAGCGAGCATATTTAAGTGTGTGTTTTGCGCTCGTCAGAAGTATATTTTTCAAGAAAATAATAATATAAGTTCACATACATACAATAGTTTAAATATTTATTTTGAAAGAAACGTGTATATTGAATGGAACTTTGAATTGCTTTATCAATTTTATGTGTGTACCTAATTTGTATGCCAACATATAATAAGCAAATATGTTATGAACGAATTGTTTTCAATATAAGGTAAAATTATAATTGACTTTAATGTCCTATTTATTTAGTACTTTCTACCTAGTTTAGTAAGAAAAGATTTAATAACGAAAACTCTTGATGATTTCAAAGATTGTGAAATCTATTTTTGAGGGGTAAAAAAAGAAAACGATATCTCGCTAAGGATCATCGTGTTTTTAATATAGTATAGACAGATTAATATTTCTAGCCAGAATAAGCTTGATCCTTAAAGGTCTGATTAATTATTAGACATTAAATAATAGAAAGGATAACTCCAAGCTCCCTCTAGATTTGGCTTTGTAACACTAATCTCCCTTATGATTAATTATATTATGCGTACCGCCCTTATTTTAATTTCTTTGTAGTAAATTTTTAACCTATTTGTCATTAGTGTAAGCAAATTGGTATGTTACTAATTTACCGTTTCAAATGTAATATTTTGTTTAATTAATTTTATAAACATCTTTCTTTCCTTTACGATCGCATAAGAGTTTTTGAAATTCCTTTCAGATATAGTACTTTTTTAGAATTCTCATCGCGACACAGTTTCCATTCCTCTAGATGATCTAAGAGGACTCTATTGGTCTTTGCCTCTTTGGGTTGCTACGTTCTGATGACGAGAAGCGACTGTCAAATCAAAAAACAGGTCTTTGACACCTTCATTAATATGCTTATCAACCAGTATTTCAATGAGTCATCATTGTTTATATTAATGATAAATAGGTATAGGCAAAGTTATTCTCTGTTACTTGCCTAGTGCTGGAAGCAATAACAATTGAAGGATGACTATGTTCAATTAATTTGTTAACATTTTATTCACTCCATATTAACTCTTCATCAAGCAACTATAACGGCAAAGATTCTCTTGGAGTAAAGGACAATTTTACAACATTGCAGTTTCTCTTGCCTCTTTCCATAAAGCAAAAAATTTACTAACCTTGCTACTCTTATAGAACAGACAATATACTACAAACTTCTCTCGACCAAAAAAAAAAAAGAAATACAAACTTCAACAATAACTTTCCTACCTTCCAGTTAGTATCATAATTTCATCGGCATTTCCCACTGAAGAGTTTCACGAATATACAAGATAACTCAGAGACTAACATCTTCAGCTAGTGGATCTATCAGCTTTAGTTCATGCCACAAGCAATACAATGTATCAAATAGGTCATCGTTAACTTCACCATCTGTCTTTGAGATTCCTAGAAGTGTCTTGAACCATTCTTCGTGCAGTGTTGAAAAGCAAGCTCTTTGTTCACATGACCTAAAACTTTCTCCGATCATTTTCTTCATGACTTGCCCTGCATTGGATGCGGATTCAACCACAATTTTCGGGATTCCAGCCATGAGTGCTACTTGCATTCCATAGCTCTCTGGGCATGCTCCAGAGGCTAGACGGTAAAGGAACACCAGCTCTTGCTCTGTTGGAGATGAACTTTGAGATTTCAACTTGAAAGAGCAGGCCATGTGTTGTAATGTCACATTAGGATGAGAAGCAAACTCTTTAGAGAGTGGATGATAATGTGTGGCAAACAGTAAGCGGCAGTTCACCGTCTCTATAAGGTGTCGGAATACCTGGACAGAACTTGTAACTTGTCAAAAACTTCACCTCACAGCTTGAATGTATGGAACAAAACCAAAGATGCCATGACCAAAATGACTCAAAAGACAAGCAAGATTCCCTTTCAATAACGCATAGTAACCTTAAAGGCATTGGCCGAGCCCCAACAAGTTTTGCTCAATTTCTTAGCTACAATAGCTCCATTCTTTATCTTGTGATCTTATACCTTAGGAACAGGTCACATGCATAAAAAGATAATTCAGATGGCAAAAAAATGCTTCAGTAATTTCAGATAAAGTAATATGGTATGTCATGCCACGTCTTTAGGTAATACTTTGCCCGAGTAACTCAACGAAGCTCGATGTATTGTACTAGAAAGCTGTTAAACTATAATTGTGTATTACACTTTAGGCACTTATCATGGCATTACACCAGTTGACTGGGAAAGACAGATCAAGCATCATGTAAACTAATGCAAAAAGACTCCCAGAATCTGTCTATCAAGAAAACAGAACTCTTGCATGCAGCTAATCAAATCATACAATAAAAGAAAATAATGGGGAACTTACAGCATATGCAATAGCATATCCATCAAAAGTGCTTGTTCCTCTGCCCAATTCATCCAGAAGAACAAGGGAATTGCATGTAGCATTTTGAAGAACTGACGCGGTTTCTGTGCACTCAATAAAGAAGGTACCTGTAAAAAGTAAAAATAAGAATGAATACCTGTGAAAATGAAAATTAATTTTTAAAATGCATGTGGGGCATAGATGTTTCTGCTTTGAGCTTTACACATGGTCAATTTTTCTTTGTAATGCACTAAGAAGAGGACAGAAATTGTGAAACCACAAATATCTGCTGCCATTGATCTAAAATTCATCTTTATTCCGAGAGTGAAGAAGTTTACTGTCCAAGCCAAGTCCACTGCTATGGACTTCGACTCATACCTAAAGAATGTGATAAAGCAGGAACTATATTTCTCACAAGAAGTCCACCTGTTGCATCATAGCTGAAGCCTGAAGTAATCAAATTCATATAGTCCAAGTGCTAAAATATTCAGTGCTCGTTATGATAATGATGATGATTGTAAAGAACATCAACAACGATGGTTCAATTTGTGCTATTCTTATGTCAAGTAGAAAAGTCCAGGCACTCTTTTATCATTGTTATGATAATAAGATATTCCACAAGCATAGTCACTACAGTGAAGACTATCACTTGAATATCCCAAAAGAAGTCAATTATAGGCCTCTTCCGGTCCAAACTAAATTGCCCTTTTCCTCTTCTCTTTTATCTTTCTGACTTTTATTCCTTTCTGACAGTGGTCTAGACTTTTCCGAAGAATGAAAGACTACATAGATAGTAAAAAGGAGGTAAAGAGGGGAGGAAGATAGTTCAAATAATAAGCTCTCTTTTGATTAAAACTTACTTTCACCAGTCATGATTCGATCAGTTGCTCCAAGACGTGTAAAGATGATGTCCACAAGTGAAAGCACACATGTTTCTCCAGGCACATAGCAACCCAACTGCAGAGAAATTGATATCTTTAAACTCCAGAAGCTAAGTACCATCTAAATGAATGTATGATCTCTTCCAAACATAGAGAAGAATGAACCTGAGCCATTATGACGGCCAGACAAGTGGCACGTAAAAGAGTTGACTTTCCTCCCATATTTGGTCCAGTCAACAGTAAAGTACGAGGATGGCAGATATTTGTATTCCCTCCAAGATGGAGATCATTAGGAACAGGCAGTCCCCCACTTTCAGCAAGAGCATATGGATGCCAAAGCCCCTTGATGTTTAGTATTGGCCCACCAGTCTCTCTACAGAAATTTGTTGGCTTTGAAAGAGGCAAGATCACTGGTCTACACATAATTCCAGAGGAAAATTTTGCAGTAATGGAAAATGATCTTAACACATCAACACAACTTATGGCATAAATGACTTGAGACCACTCAGTAGCCTTCTCAACAAATAACTC